ATTCCTACCTTTTGCTTTTGGTTCAGATCTGGTTCGATTATGGTTCAAGTAAGATCCTTGAAAATTGAATTCTAAATTTAGGGAATATGATTCCCAGTTGGAAGAAGGTAGAAAAATTTTTGAAATTCGCCCACCCATTCCGCAACCTTCTTGGCGTCCATTAGATGGATCCTACCATTCTTTCAAAAGATAGACAAGTCATGTTGAGATGCACTAGGACAGGAGTTATTTGGACTATTTGGGAATAAAGGAACATGAGAATCTTTAATGGAAAGACAGTAAGACACACTAAGAAGACAGTAATAGAGAGCTTTACAGTGACAGTGATTGGGTTAAGACCATGGACAGATTTGCACCTTTTCTCAACAGATACATCTATATCTATAATAGAAAGACAGAGAGTGGGATGGGAGGCAGTGGCTGGCAGGGGGTCTCTCACCAAAAGTGTTGCACAAAGCTCTTTGCTTCTCATTCCTTGCACATGTGACCCTTCTACATTAATACGAATTAGTTTTTGCTAAGGTAAATAACCCTTCTACATTAATGTTCTTTAAAAGTAAAAATCACCCTTACTTAAGAAGGTTAATTAACTAATAGGAGTTATTTTCATAATTTTATTGAGGTAGGTGCCTGAAATAGGATTTCCACCTACAAACACTTCTCTTTGCTGACTTTCCTACTACATCTTTCGATCAACCAAGACCTTTGTCTTCTTCCAATCCTTCTGTAATCAAATTCTCCATTAATTTTTGACCAATAAAATCTCTAGCAGCCCTTCATGCAGACAACTCGACGATATCCCCCTTAAATGCCTATATTTCTCTCACCTTAATGTTTCCTCAATCAAAGTTTTAAAACTCTTCTCCCCTCTCTCACTCCACCTGTCCTGCACTAGCACCAATTCCATAGCTACTGCGACTGCAATGGTACATCTTTGAAGCTGAAACTTTCCAGATGAATCCTTGAATTCATTAATGGGAAACTGTATATCTTGAGAGCTACCATGGTATATATCTTATTGCTTCTAATGTGCCCTTCATAGGATGATCAGCAAGAAGGTTCTTCAAATTGCTTTCAGAAGCTTGGATTCCTTCATGGAGTTAGAGTTTATCAGTGAAGGCTTTTAAGCCAAGACACAAAACATGGAGAAGTTCCATCACCCATGATATCCCTCAGAAACACACACACACACACAGGGGGGTAAGTGAAGTGAGAAGATGAAGGCATGCAATGCAGTGGATCAACTCCAAATCTCAATGTCAATTTCTCTCCCAAAGCTTTAATTAGTTGAGGGTTACTTCAGTGATTTAAAAGGCACGACTCGGCGCACAGGCAAGGTGCATTTTAGGGTATGTGCCTCGCCCAGGTCCTAGGCGTGCGCCTGATGCGCCTTGCATTTTTCCATTTCCACTGTATTTTATGCATGTTCTCTTTTTTATTATTGGGTTTTCTTGAGAGGAACTCCCTGATGTTTAAATAAAAATTTGAAGCACACATATATAATATAAACTTTGGCCAGAGAAAGAGAGAGACCTTTATCATCCTTAAGGCACAAATGTGGTAGGTCAAATTTGGATGTCCCTCCAGAAAGCAATCTATTCAAAGTAACATCAACACTCCCTGCCCAATCAGCAAACCAGATTGACCTAGCCAACAACAATCACAGAAAGTTTAGATTAATTAGAAACTAATTTAACACCACGTGTTCAACAACCCAAGTAAGAAAAAACCAACAAACCTGTTATTGTCAGTGAACCAAGACATATCAATTGTAGTTGGAGAAATGTCTATGTGTTTGCCTGGATAATCATTCATGAGCTTTTCTCCTAGTATAGGAACAGTTCTGATCCCTCTTTGTGTTGCTTTTTGGTTTATAATAACCATTACAGGTTCTTGTAGCACATCCTGTATCATGTAAAAGACTAACCTCAGAAGATTGCACCTGCAATCAGTTTTTGCATGCATAGCACAGCACCGCAAATGTTTCTAAGGGTAAAATTTTAATAATAAAATTAATTTACTTTGCTTTTAGCAGTGATTAAACTTTTTGACAAAGAGAGAGACTCATAGACAAGGACATATCTACAAAGGAAAGGCCACAATATTAAGAAGAGCATCCTTGTAATACGAGACCAATTTCTAACTCAATGACTAGGATGGAACTGGAACAGTGAGACAGCAAGCCCAAAATTTTCAGCAGAAGGATGCATTCTTTTTTTATCATTTTGAGAGCATAAGAGCCCAAAAAGGACACAGCAGACAGCAAAAGACCTGGCAATGTGGCCACTACAGAAGAAGCACGTAGAACAGTCTATTTGCTTATATTTGTTTAATGTGCATACAAGGTTCTGAGTTAACTAATCATCCTGCTCATCTCCCCTCTTCATGTCCTTGGAAAGATCAACAGCTCGTTACTCTATATCAGTCTTAAAGAACATTTTCTATGTATAAATAGATGAATATAGCTTATGAGTTGTATATGTGTTATGCAAAATATTTTTGATTTACGTTATCACTCCTGCCTTCATATCATTAATGCTGATTTTGATCCTAACATAGATCCACTGATTGGTAATATATCATGCTTGCTCTCTTGCACCCTATCAAAATGAAACTGATCTGAATCTTGCACCCTACCAAGATTTTATTCTCTTTGAGCAAAAATATACAACTCTCTTCTCACAAACCTATTATTTTTGGTCTTATCCATTTAAAACCTTCAACTTGGGCAGCATCATATTGCATTACATCTTCAGTTGCTATCTCACATGGCCAAACCATTTCAGTTTCAGTTAACTCCTTTTGTTATCTGTTGGGAGCTACAATGCTACAGCCCAGGACCACCATCCGTTTCTTAATTTTTCTTGTCAATTATTATCCAATACCCACCTTTAGTGCAAAAAATTCAAAGTTCTGTTTCTAATTTTCCATCAAGTTTTAAAATAAAAAAAAGAAAAGAAAATGACAGAATCTAAATATAACCATCTAGAAAAATCAAATATGCTCCAAATAGCTTATCTTTTTGGCTAAATTACAAGCAATGCTTTGCCTCTTCAAAAGAAAAAAAACTGAAATATTAAAGTTTGAGGCTGTAATGTCTTTCTAGTAAAGACATCAAGGGAAATCACATTAATTACATAAAACGGAGCAGTTTTCAAAATATGAAACATTGAAGAAAGTAATACACATATTAAGTTTTTATCATAATGAGAGGCTACAACACCTGAAAAAGGCAAAATTGAATAAACAGAGCTTTAAATGTTTCGATATGACTTGAAAAAAGAGAAAACAAAGATAAGGAGAAAGATAAAGAGAAACTAATTACATTGAATTTCTTTATAAGTTTCCGAAGCTTTTGCCTGGTCCTTTTAAAGCTCTCCATTGACAAATAACTCTCAGAATGCTCCCACCGGCAAAGTTTTACAAGTTCTTTGAGTTCAGTCTCAATGTTTCTCCTATTAGCTTCAATGTGCTCTGAGATTCTGAATAACAAAAAAGCAACAGTGTTAATGGAGTTATCTAAAAAGGGAACCAAGACTTCTTGAAGCAAAAAATAGTGCCAAAAAAGAAACTGAGTGCAGTTTATAAATTGAAGCAATTGATAGAACACTTACATGGGCAAAAATTGTATATAAAAACCAAAAACATTGTATAAGATCTTCAGGTTTTCCATCAAACGAGGACTGCACAATTAAGCAGAATCAGAACAATGTTGGGCAGAGAAGTCAGGATTTTTTTAGAAGTCTTATTTTTTCCATTTAAACAGCTTGATACTGCAGAATGTGAGATAAATATTTTAAAGGGAAATAGATAAAAAGCATGACATGAGCAGAAACGGGTCTCTTTCTCAATGAACAAATATCAAAATGATGGAGTATCTTGAATGAGTCTTGAATCATTGAGAGCTAACAGTATTGGACCTTATACAATGTATAGGGTATGTAAGTACACAGAAGATAACAGAATACATGTTTCTTTAGTTATATATGGTTCATTCAAACTTCATATTTCCGGATGTTGCTTTCTGGACCAGGAATACATACTAAATAAGTTAAAATCAGTGTTTTAAAAGGCATGGGAGGCATACGCCTGGAGGCGCGCCTCCAAGCGAGGCACTCCCAAAACGCCCTGAACTATGCCTCATGCCTCTAGGTAGTGGAACACCTTGCGTCATGCCTCCGCGTTTTAAAACATTCATCCAGAGGAAAGTATAGTTGACTCTCTCTCTCTCTCTCTCTTGAGGTAACATTTGTAAATGTTTTGTTATACAGTTCATGTTCCTATAGAAAAGTATAATTTGTTTCTTAGGCCATGTTTGGTTCACTGCTCTGGGCCTCATTTTTTTAATTCTTGCTCATTCTAGGCAAGAATGAATAACATTCGAGTGTTTGGTTACAAAGTTCTTGCCATGGGCCACATTCTTTTTAGAATGAACAACATTAGCATGCAGCATGAAAAATAATCATGCCCATCTTGCTCATTTTCATTCTTCGAGGAAACTCTGCCTACAAAACTGTTGTCATAGATGTCTACTTTTGCGAAAGCACTTTTATAAAAGTACATTTATGAAAAGTACTTTTATAAAAGCACTTTCATGAAAGAGCTTTTGTAAAAGCACTTTTACAAAAGTATTTCTATAAAAGCACTTTTATGGAAGTACTTTTACGAAAGTACTTTTATAAAAGCAATTTTATGGAAGTACTTTTACAAAAGCATTTTTACGAAAATACTTTTATAAAATCACTTTTATGAAAGTACTTTTACAAAACATCTATGCCAACTGGTAAACATTGACTGTTGGATACCTAAGCTGGCAGTTTATGAATACTGGCACAATGTTTTTTAAAGAATTAAAATGAGCAACATAGGACACTTGTTAGTCTGAAAAGAATTCATTTTTAGGAAAAAAGTGTTTGGTTCATAGCAATATTTTCTCATTCTGCCCATTTTTACCTATTCTTGTCCATTTTAGAATTTCATCTTGGGTAAGAATGATAAAGAATGAGAATTGAACCAGACATGGCCTTAGTATCTGTGGTTTGCAGTCTGCCAAGATCAACTTTCTTGCCATGGAAAGTAGCAAATTCAAATTTCCAGCCAGTGAGAACTATGAAAGGCAAACCGAGGTGCTTTGCATGCCTTACCTTGAATAAGAACCTAAACATATGCCGGTATTGATCTGGCCATGGAAAGCACAAAGAAGTTTCAGGCGTTTCTTGAATTCTCCAACACTGGATATTTGCATGAACTCCTCAAGGCTGCAAGATTCATTTTTTCCCAGAAACATGGGTTTCATATATATATAAATAATCAATAGTAGTGGATAATTGAATAAAAAATTGAAGACAATAATCTGGTTCTTGCCTTTGGATTGTAGATTGACTTTCCTCAGAAGTATATGTAGTATGTCCATGATGAAGAACCAGATAGAGGGGAAACCACAACTGCAACATTGAAATGGAAAAAGAAAAAGGTCTTAACATAGGAATTTAACTTCACCATTAAAGTTGAATGGTTTTGGCTTATTAGAAGAAGCAAGTTTGTCTCCAGTTGAACTTCAATTTACCTTTCCGTATGATCTGCCTTCCACGCTCATATTTATAATGAAGAGTATGAAGAGCAAAAATAGTAAGTAGAAGAAACTACAATTTACCTTTCCAGCATTAATCTCATATTGTTCCAGAATCTCATCAAGCAAAGCAGGCCAAGAATCAATCTCCATCCTTTGCCAAGAGGAAACAAGCATGACAATTGGTTCTAGTTCATCTGCACGCAAAGACCTAATATGTTATTAACTTATTATAACAGGGGGCAGAGACTTTTGTCATACTATTGTTTGACAATCACAAAGAAAAGGTAAAACAATTGTTATAGTGTATGTCCCTGACCGGAAAGAGAGAATTTTGAAGTATTTTCCTGTAACACCCAGGTCCTGCTAAGTAGAAACTGCAAACCTGAAAGAGCCTTTACAGAAGAAGAGCAGATAAAAAGTGAGTGAATAGTTATGTACAAATAACTGAATAAGCATAAATCCCAGGTGTAGATATATGCCTCTGGATGAAACCTTTCACTTAAATTACCTTAGCAAGTGGAGTGGTCAGTGAAATACCCAATAGCATTTCAGTCACATCTAGAATTTTCTGTAGACCAGGATGATCGGTCCATTCATTTAAAAGAGATAAAATCCGCTTTTTCAGAAGAGTAAGTGGGTTGACCATTTTAGCCATGACTGGAGCATTTGAATCCTATAAAAGTAAGAGGGACCGTTTTAGCTATTTGAGTCCATAGCGAAGAAGCAACAATCTGAAATTCAAGAACACCATTACACAACCTTGTAAATATTATAGACATTAGCCACTTTATGAGATGGACCAAACTTCTTTTCATGCTCCAAACACAGGCGGAGTAAATGTTCTGGCATAAGTTTTGCATCCAAGCCAGAGGACAATAAAGTACGTAACTCTGGCAATGAAAACAGAAGGTAAATACAGTATAAGAGATACCTTGCACTGAAAGTGTTGTTCCCTAGTTCATTTGCTAAGAAGGTACCTTTTAACATCATGGTTCCCAGTTTGTATGCATCCAAGAAGGAAGAAAGTCGGTCTGCATCAGAGACCTGAATAATTCCAGGCTGGATTGAAGAATCAATGAATTAGTAGTGGATGGCATGAAGATCAAAGTTACATACAAAGGTGACATTATAGCACAATAACAGATATTAATCTGTTGGTTGGAAAAGAATTAAAGTTAAGTTAGAAAAATTATCATCTTAGCCTTTATACAACAAACAGCATAGAAAAGGCACAGGTCAAACTGACACAATCAATATAGTGAAAGGAGCACTTAATAGGGAATAATAGGATGACTGTATGGTAAGGACTATTGGGTTTTCTGATTTGGGAGTGGATAGAAAACTCCAAAACACTAACAGCTCAAAACGGAAGATAGGTATGAATGTGAAGTGACTAAAGACAAAGAAATTCTTGCAGCTCAAACTAAATGCTCCACTTCCTCATAAACTACCATACCAATACCAGACTCAATAAAAGCAGAATAGAGAGACTCTCAAACCTTCTATTTTACCCTTCCTTGCTTACCTCTATCCCATGTACTTCTAGTGGAGATTCTCACAGGTTTCTCAGTAAGACTACCACCTTGAGCCTCATCATGGTTGTCCAGGCAATGCCTAGGTAAGCACCTAAGTGATTAGAATTTTTGTGGGATCACCTTGTGCCTTGCTTTGGTATTTCTTTGTGGAACCATGAAAGGGGCATTTCTCTTTGTTCTCTTTTTCTAAATCTTCTATGATCATTCCTCTCTTTCTTACTATGACTAGAATAAGGGCTCTGCTCTTTTATTCTTTTTCCCTTTTCTCTGCAATAAACACAGCTCAATATTCTCTCCCTAAATATTTATTGCATTTAAAACAATCTAACTCATAAGAGAATAGGGAAGCATATTAAAATCATGCAAATTCTTTATATAAAAATCAATGCCTAAGCAATACCTGGTCACCTAGATGACAATATCCAAAAGTAGAGTAAGCAAGCTAGGAAAGAATTGTTAGATTTTTTTAATAAAGAAAGAAAGAGAAACGAATTGTTAGATTAAAGAGTGTTGTCCACTGTAATCCATCTTTTTTTTTGCGAGTTCCAAAAATAAAGGTCCCGCAATTGGGCAAGAAACATTAATTCTTAAAAGAAGAATTGTTAGATTACAGGGTTCATTTCTTGTTTACAAAACCAAAGATAGGAAATGTATTGTTGAATTTCTGGTTTCAAAACAAATTTACCTCTGGTGGTTTGTGTAAGATAGCGAGGGTTAAAGTTTTAATGTTTCTTGTTCTTGTTGTACACATTCTTTTATTCTTTTAACTTAGGAACAAAATTATCCTTTTATTTCTCTTTAATGTAAATATCATCTTCTTGGTGTAGTCGACTCATTAGACACACCACCAAAACTGTTTGTCTTCTCTAGTTCAAACTGCACTGACATGGTATCAAAGCAGGTTCAATTCTCTTGCTATTGATCTCAGTTTTCTTTCTCCTCTATTGAGCATTGATTAGGATTCTCTTCTCACCTACTTGCACTAGTACTTAGCATCTTCTTGGAACTGTTTCAATCAGAACAATGCAAACTGCACTGACATGGTATCAAAGCAGGTTCAATTCTCTTGCTATTGATCTCAGTTTTCTTTCTCCTCTATTGAGCATCAATTAGGCTTCTCTTCTCGCCTACTTGCACTAGCATTTAGCACCTTCTTGGAACTGTTTCAATTAGAACAATGAGATCTGATTTTTCTGGACAGGAACACTATTCAATTAAGTGTTCTCATGATTTCTCTCAAGTGGCAGATCCACTTGGCCTAAGATTCTGGATCTAGTGTCGCCCAAGGCTGATCCTTCAGCCCACTCTTTTTTTGGTGAAGATCGGATCTGATTTTCTAGATGCCTCCTCTTGTTTAATTTACCTGACAACTTTCCTTTTTTGTACTGTCAAAGACTTTTCACCCCTTTTCAGCTTATCTGTGGTTGTTCTCTTTACTTTACCTTTTCCAATTGCTTCCAAAAGGGGTGATGTGCTTCCTATTAAGTTCAATGAGCCCAACTATGCCCTATGGCAATTTCATTTTCAGTTTTATGTTGAGCGAAAGGGTCTGTGGAGATATATAAATTGAACTACGACCAAGCTTAATGAAACCAATGCAAAGGGGATGTGAACTTGGAAGATTAATAATGCCCAGATTGCATCCTGGAGGGTTCTAGTTCTGTTACTACAGATATTGCTATCCCTATGAGGGGTCTCCAAATAGCCAAGGAGATGTATGACCATCTGGAAAAGGTTTAGCAACATGTCAAACATCTCAAGACAATATCAAATTAAGACAGATATTTTCATACAACCAAATGTATGACCATCTGGAAAAGGTTTATCACATTATCCTTTGCCGCTCAACCAAGGGAGATATTGCTAGTGTTATGACTGAAGAGAAGAGTCATGAGTTGATGTCTAGCAATTTTTTCTACTTGTGGTCAATATTTTAAAAGGCGTGAGAGGTGTACGCCTTGAGGCGCTCCCTAAACGTCCTAATTGCTGCTCTATGTTGATAATATGCTCATAACTAGAGAGGACCAGGATGGTATACATTGGCTGAAGCACCTTCTCAGCCAATCCTTCAAGATGAAGGATTTAGGTCCCATGACATACTTTCTGGGCCTAAAAGCCTATCATAATTCCAATGGCTACGTTGTTAATCAGCAAAAGTATGCTATTGACTTGGTCAAACTTGCTCACCTCACAGATACTAAGATAGTTGATACTCCTTTGGAAATAAATCTGAAGCTAAGGATGAAGGTCCTCTTCTAGAAGATGCTACTCTTTATCGTTAATTTGTGAGAAGCCTTATCTACCTCACAATGACACACTCGGACATATCTTATGCGGTCCAAATTGTTATCTAGTTTGTTTCTACTCCCCATCAATCTCACATGACAGTTGTGCGTCATATCATCAGATATGTAAAGGGGACTGTCTCTTATGCCAACTAGTCCTGTTGTCCAGATACTAGATGGTCCAAAACAGGGTGGTACATCTTTTTGGGTGATTATCTTATTTCTTGGAAATGTACGAAGCAACAAACTATTTCTAAGTCTTCTACTGAAGCAGAATACCGAGCCATGCCTTTGACATGTAGTGAAATCATTTGGCTCCAATCACTTTTATGTGACCTCAGTATTAAAGGTTGCCTCTAATCCTATTTTTTTACAAGAGGATGAAGCATATTGAGGTGGATTGTCATTATATCCAGGATCTCCTCACTGTCGGCCACATCTCACTTCCTCGTGTATCTTCCAACCTTCAGCTGGCAAACACATTCACAAAAGATATGAAAAGAGCTAGACATACTTTTCCTATGGGCAAACTGATGCTAGCCCCTACATCAGCTAGACATACTTTTATTCTTTTATTGTGTACTGTTTCTTCTTGTAGCTTAGGCTCAGTTTGGAAGGAGTACAAATACAATTATGTAGAGTGCAAAACCCTGTATTTTATATTATTTTGTATGTATTTGCACTGTACATATTTGTATTTCTGTTCTTTCGAAACTGAGCCTTAGGGACATATTTGTCCTTCTATTTCTCTTTAATATAAATATCCTTTTCTTGGTCTGGTCGACTCATTAGACACAACACCAAAATTGTTTGTCTTCTCTAGTTTGAACTCAACTGGTAGTTTGATATTATGTTTCATAAAGAGAGTGTACAGAAGATTTTAATGTGTGTGCGACACACCAAATAATAGTCTATATCAGCCCTACGAAAGTGAAAACATTTTTTTCTTTCCAAAAGCATCTTTTTTGTTGGTTGATGTGGCCTTCAGAATCAAACTAAAAATGTTTCCACTTTGTTTTGAAAAAATTCACATCCAAGAAAGAGTTTTTCTGGCTGATGTAGCCTTTTGAAACACAAGAAAAACAAATATATTCATGTTGCACAGACCCCCCCCCCCCAATCTAGCTTTTCATCTTGATACTATTTTAGAAGACATGTACATAACAAGAAAGAGAGCTTACATTTGCAACGAGATCAATTGACCCAAAAAGCTGGGTGTGGAGATGGACCATATTAATTAAAAAGGATTCCTGCACAAGGTTCCATTCTTCCTCTAGATTTTCATACTCACCAGCAGGGACCTGCAAAACAGATCAAGAGTTGTATCTAGGATATCCAGAAAGAAACGAGAAAAGGATCAACAAATGTTTAACTACCGAGACTATTATCAACAAAGAAATAACAAAATATTACGCTTTCATTAAGTTCCTCTGATAGAATTTCTTGCCATTCTGAACATAAACTCTCATTTGAAGAATTTCTAATAGATGATATATCAACTTCCAATATATCTTCTATCTTGAATGCACGGGGCCTGAATTTGAACTGCAGAGCTTCATCATTTTCCTTTACTTTTTCTTGAACTTTCTTATTCATCCACATGCTTGCAAATTGGTCAAATATCTCATTCAAAATCTGATTCACGAGGAAAGGTTTAATGTTATATCAACTATATATATTATTGAATAACTAGAACCATCTCTGTTATGCATCATTTGGAAAGGCAAGTTCTCACCATAAAAGAGGAATTATCCAAAAGCAGTGAGTGGACTACAGAATGCATAATTCGAACAAGAATATTATGATACAGAGAAGTATGTGATTCAAAGAAAGAGACCTGCAAACCAATGTGAACCATTTGGTCACAAGACAATACTTCAATGATTACTACAGCTACTCAGAGTATATTAACAAAGGAAAGCATACCGTTCTATCAGGGCATGTATCTCCTTTTGGAGTACACAACTTCAGCAAATTCATATCTATTCTCTGGTGATCTTCATCAAAATCAAATTCGGAACATGGATTAATGAGTTTGCTTTTGGTGCTGAAAGAATAGGTTTTGACTGCACAAACTCTAGGGAATCGCATAAAAGAGTATATACTTTCCTGAAAAGGAGATTTTTTTTAAGTCAGTCCTGTGTTTGCATAAAACTATGAAGAATAAGGAAACAAAGGGTTAGGTGAACAACCAGAATCCTGTCAAAATTGTCTTCTTCAACTTTATTCAGAAACACTTTCTGCAATGCACTTGACACAACCAGTGATATGCCTAATTTCATTTCATAAATTGAAACTTGAATAGGTTGAATTATATCAATGTATGTTGCATACTCTTCTGATAATCGAGCAATAAATCTAGTTGCTGTCTCCTGAAAGACCAAAGACACAAAAAGCAATGTTGAAAATTTACTAACTACACCAAAACAGTAGCCACAAAGTATATAGAACAATGATAAACAGTTACAGATCAAGATTGATCATTCTTTACCTGCCAATTACAAGATTGATCAATCAGCTGCTGTGTACACATGCCATCAAGATTCTTTATCAAAGCAGAAGAAGATTTGACCATCCCAAGAAAATCATCACACTCCGATTTTAGCTTTATAAACTTGCCAGGCTCAGGACGAAAAATGACCTATAAATGAGAAAAAAATGTCAAAATAAAGAACAAAAGAAGACATTACCAAGGCATCTCCGGGTATGAAAGATAGCAGAACCAACCTGAGATGGTTCATTGCTTGTGAAAGATTCTTAGTAAATTAATATAAGCAAGTTACACTGGATTAAGGGAATCGAATTTCAAAATATAAAGAACTGCAATAAGATGACACTAATTCTTAGAATCATTTATCCAGAAAATCAAACAATCTGTTCACCTCATAAGGATTATGTTAGCAATAATTGAATATCCAAAAAATAGAATATCTTGAATGAACACATAAAAGCACCTTCATATGTTTAACACAAAAAAAATGTATATTTCCCTTTCTATGACTAATAAAAAGAATAAGGAAATCAAATTTAACAATGTGAGTAAAGGGAGAAAGCAGTAACAACCATAAAAAAGTTGTACAGTGCACAACCCTTTATTCTGAAAGAAACTATCAATTGAATACAAAATCACATCTATTAAAAGAGCTCACTTCGAAAAAAGAGACCCATTGCATGACATGAAGGGATGAGATATCCATCGTATGGACGCCCGAATCTTGCGGAATAGAATGGGCGAATTTCAAAAAAATTATCTCCATCCTACTGGGAATCGTATTCCCTATTTTAGAAAAATCATATTTTTCAATGATCAATCTTGAACCAAGAACCGAACCAGATCTGAACAAAACAATAGGAGAGGGATATATCTGATACAGAGAAATAGTATCTCTCAATGGAAGTGTTCACGCCCAAGGAAGGAACAAAAAAACTGCTCCCACTAAAGATGGAGCAGAATCAGCAGTGTTCTTCACAAGAACCAGATCCTTCGCAAGAATCAGCTGGATGGCACATGAGCACTACTTCCAATCAGCCCTTTCACAAAGGACTGATATCAAGATCCAATCTTGATCACTCCTACTGACAAGAGGAAATCGAACTGGCAAATATGGCGGCGGCAGGAAGGAGGTGACAAGAGAGATTTAGCGCAGTAAAGCTGAATTCTCTCTTCTGTGATTTCAGCTCTGAAGACAGGATGTGAAGTGTGTCAAAAGGCTGCCGCCCCCTCCTTTTATAACCTTAAAGGGATCAGCTCCTAATCCCATTAGGAGTTGCTGATCCAAATCATATTTGGATCAGAAATCCCTTCAAGTGATAAGGGTAAACCCTTATCTTTTCTGCAGATTAGATCAGCCTCCTCCTAATCCTATTAGGAGGCTTCCAAATCTGAATCACATTCAGATATGGACTCTCTGAGTGGATAGGGTTAAGACCCAATCCTATCTGCTAATCCAATATCAGAATTCGCCCCTTATTTAACTGATCAAATCAGCCCAGTTCGAAATGGGCTTTAGGCCCAATAAGGT